GGAAGTGGGTGTCAAGGGGAGGGGGAACTTGACTGAGGAAAAGGTATGGCCTTGCTAACCAGCTCAACAGCATTTTGTGCCTTATCCAGCAGCGCACTTAAGCACATGAAGTATGACTACTCACATGCTTAAGATTAAGTATGTGGTTTTAGTACCTTGCTGAACTGATTCCTAAATCAGGCCAGAGCAATTTTAGTTTACATGGGGCCAGCCAGTGCAAGCTTCTTCCGGGAGCCACTGCACTGGTAGAGTTGCCAGCTCCTCCAGAGGTTTAAGTGACATGGGGCAAATTGGAGGGGAAAGGTGGTGATATTCTTCCAAGCTCTGCCCACAGAATAAGCCTCACCCATTTGAGTCAACCAAAATGAGGTACTACTCATGGTAGATTGTGCAGAGATTCAAAATATGGATTGTTCTATTCTCTGGGCTCCTCAAACTTGGTCCCCTTCAGCATGCTTTGAATGTGTCAATAGACTGTGCTGGGCTCCTCAAGCGTGGCTTCACCTTTGTGGTACTTAGATCCCCAGATATGCTCCTTGGGCTTGGCTCTTCCTTGGTGGGACTCAGGTCTCTGCTTGGCTCCTTTAACTTGGGGGAAAAGTATCTCCCAGACACCACCCACACATACTTAATTTTTGCACTATCACTTTCAGGCTATTGTAAGGATGTGAACTTTCCTCTCCTTGCTTACATGCTTTCATGAGCAAGTAGCTAACAGTGTTGACAATATCATCACTGGGCATCTGAGTTAATACCTCACTGAGATAAAGGGGCAGTTCACACCTCTCAGAGCTATTATTTCAGACCCATTGCATCAGTTAACCTAAAAAATGTGATCTCAATGTTTCTTAGCTACTGTAACACTTGGAGACTTTTAAAGAAAAATTAGGAGCTGAATTTTTGGAGCACATCATGGCAGTGTGAGAGGGGTACCAATACACTGTACCATGACATATTGGCTCAGCCTTAGTCCTGCTTGATAGTAACAACATCAGAAGGTGTCTTAACATTGTCAACATTAGAACTCCCACTGGTGCAGATGTATATTTTGCTAAGTTTCCCTAGAGTGCATGTTACCTGAAAAGCAAAGGCTCTGATTGCCAGGCCCAATTGTCCTGGCAATCCAGCTTTAGGGAATAGAGTCAGATGACTCCATGGAGCCTATGATAATGGTAGATAACCAGCTGAACATGGGCTGCCTGTGCAATGCTGTAACTAAGAGGGAACACAGTCCCTGGAGATACAAGGGAATATCAAGTAAGAGTAAGGAGGTGGTATTACCTCTGTATATGACATAAGTGAGACTATTACTGGAGTACTAGGTCCAGATCTGATGTCTATATTTCAAAGAAGATGTCAGACAGTTGGTAGGGATTCAGCAAAGGGGTATAAGAATGTAAGGTCTATTTTCCAGACCCCAAATCAACGAGAGACTTAAAAAGCTCAAGCTATTTCATTTATCCAAGAGAGAGTTAAGTGGTGACTTGGTCACACTCCACTAGTACTTCCATGGGGAAGAGATTTCAGCTAGTAGATAGTTCTTTAATCTACTAGAAAGAGCTAATGAGATCTAATTGCTGCAAGCTGAAGCTAGTCAAATTGAGACTAGAAATAACATGCACATTTTAACAGATATCCTTATCTAGGGATATGGTAGCATCTCCATCACTTGGAGTCTTTAAATCAAGACTGGATATCTTTAAAATATATGCTATAGTTCAAACAGAAGTTACAGGCTTGATGCAGATATTGCTGTTATAGCCTGTGTTATATCGGCAGTCAGATCATTATAATGGTTCCTTTAGGCCCTAAGTTCTATGAAACTATGGAGCTAATTGAGAAATCCCTTTGACATATTATTGTGAGGGGCTGGTTCTTCAGTTACTGAGTGATGTACTGCCAGCCACTAAAGAACTTTAGGGAGGCAGAAACTCAAAGATTATTTGAGCGCACTTAAGCGGACATCTCTTATTATTTATTGTTTGTATTATGGTCCTGCATGTGGTTCCACGCACTGCTATAGCATGACATTGCAAGGGGTTTTATTGCTACCACCCCCTATTGACATCATCTTTAGCCCTTCATGGTATATCTATACCTTCAGTGGCCTAGTCTTCTGGTCATGTTGCCTTCTAGTTGAGCCCCTCTACCAGGGTAACAAAAGCCTAGCAAATTACATATAAACATCCAAACAAATGGGTCTTCTGCCCCTCTTGGGCTACATTAAAGTTGCCTACTCTTCAACCCTAGTTCCAGGCCTGGCAGAGTTCTATTTTCCTTAAGCCAAGGACTGCATTTCAGGGCTTTCCTTGGAGGCCCTCTTTTCCAACAGGTTTCCTCTATCTTCCCTCTCCAGGACCTCCAGCAGCTTCTTGTAGGGATGTCTCCACTGCTTATAGGTCCTCCTTCAGAACTTCTCACAGAAGCTCAACATGCTCCTCATGGGTGGCGGGTATCGTAAGCAGGGGTAGGCTGTGCCTTCCTAAACAGCCCAGCGTGGCCCCACCCACGCTCTGCCCTCAGGCCAGGCCCCCTCTTGCAGTTCCCAGCGCTCTGCCCCAGAGTGCTGGGGCCACGCTGCCCGGAGCACTGGGGCTTGCCGGGCTGCCCGGCATGCCGGGAGCCCTGCCGCCCAGCGCTCCGGGGCTGGTAGCACCACCCTGTCATCTGGAGCACCAGGCTGGCTGTGCCGCCCAGAGCACTGGGGCTGGGGCCTCGCCACCTGGCCACATGTTGCTGGGGGCTGTGGTGGGGGTTCTCTAGGGTCCTGCAGTGGAGGGAGGGGGCAGATGGAGAGCGGCAGGGCCTTGGGCACAAGGGGAGGGGCCGGGGGCTAGCTACCCCCAACAGCCAGGTCACCGGCCACCCATGATGCTCCTTGTAGTCCCTTTTCAGGCTACTTTCTCCTCTTTTCCCTATGTAGTTCTCTTTGACCCTTTCACAGCTAAGAGCTAGTTATAATTAAGTTACCAGATCAAGATCAGCTGGAGGATAACTGCTACATCACAGGCAAGGCTGAGTTGAACTCCCTGGTAAAGGGCCAGCCACCCTATGACAGATCCCAATCATGACTCAGGCCCCATTGTGCTTGTGACATACTATACCTTGGGTGAGGGTCTTGTAACCCCCATATTCCTCATCTGTATATAATTGTGATATTACATATAAAGCATGCCTTATAAGGTATCAGGGGGAAAGTTATGATCTGCTGGAAGTCATTTCTCTATCCATATATGTATATCATTAATGCATATGAAGTTATGAGAATTGTGTTGTATGGTTGTCACATGCTGTAAATTGGGGAATCAGCCAGATATTAGCTCCCCAAAGGCAACAGCAAGGAAAGTAACCAACCCCTGCGAGGAGTGTCAAACAACCCATCAACAGCTATTGTCCAGTAAGGGAGCTACAATTCAATGACTTGCCTGCATGAGGCCACACCAAGGGAATTGCTCAACCTTGCCTGGAGACTCAACAATGCCCCCCAGACATGCCTGGAGTTGTGTTCTCCAAACACATGGGACTGAGGGTATAAAACAGAACACTGGGGCCTTATGATTGTCCTTTCTCCTGCCCCCACCTATGCTGCAAGCAACCAAGACACTCAGAAGAAAATTAAAGACTCCAACAGAGGAGGCTGGCCCAGGTTTAAGGGACAAACCTGTATATTAAGGACTCATCCAGTTAGGTGAGAAAAACTGCTTAATCTAGATGTTGCCCAGTCTAATAGGGTTGAGAGTTTAGACTGCGTGGTTATATTTTCTTTTCTTTTGGTAACTAACTCTGACTTTTTGCCTATCACTTAAAATCTATCTTTTGTAGTCAATAAATTTGTTTAACTGTTTATCTTTACCACTGAGTTTGCCTGAAGTGTTTGGTAATCTGCTCAGGTTACAAAGGCTGGTGTATATCCACTTTCCATTGATGAAGTGGTGAAACCAACTAATAAATTTGCACTGCTTGTCTTGAGCAGGGCAAGGTGGTATATTCCAGAGGTCCAGTGCTGGGAGCTGGGGGGATTTGGCTCTGGTGCCTTTCCCTGTGTGATTCATTAGTGGCTCTGGGAGCATTCATGCAATCTGGCTGGGTGTGGGGTTTCCCCATGCAGCTGTGCTGAGTGATAACAGTACCTGGAGGGGTTTGCTGTTGGTCACTAGCAAGGCATTGTGAGAGACAGCCCAGGCTGGAGAGAGTTCAGGGGGACACAATGGTCCCAACAGTCCCAAGCTGCACCCCAGGGATCCCCATCACAGTGCTAACCTCTGTACAAACATCTAGTAAGAGACAGCCCCAGCCCTGAAGAGCTGTTCAAGACAGATCAGCAAAGCAGAGTCTTTTATATCAATATTTGGAATTTATTTCTCCTTGAAAGAATTGATAGAGCCCAAAAATTGAGTGAGGAGCTCTGCCTAGCTGATCTTAGGAACTAACAATCTGTCAGGAGGAGAAAAAAATGGATGGAGGGGAGGGATAGGCATATCTATAGATAGATGTGCTTCCTTTAATGCAGTAATGGTGCAAAATTTTTATCTGATGGCTCAGAAACCCTTTAAATGAATATGCACTAGCAAATGTTTAACCGTTAGGTTTAGTTTGTGTTCATGTTTCAAACAAACATAATTAGGGAAGCTTAAACATTTATATGAACCCAATCCTTCCCCTCTAAATGTTAAGCATATGTTTACATGCTTATTTTGTCTAATACCAGAAAGTTCAACGTTTCTCATGTTTATGTGTAATTTGCACTTTGGCATTCATGTTTTTTAAATACCACATTGAACAGTACATTTAAATAGGCAAACAGCATCTACCAGTGCTTCTTTCCTGAAGAAGTTGCTTAGTGGGCTAACTAGCAGGTTTAAAAACCTTCCCTCCTTGTCCCAGACAAAACCCCACAGCCAGGGCCAGCCCTAGACCAAATGGTGCCCCAGGCAAGGAGTGTCTTTTGTGCAACACCCCTTCCATTTATTAAACTTTTGAATACCTTCTTTTTTCTACAGCACCCCGAGCCCAGCGTCCCCATAAGCCCAGTATCCCAGGTGGTCACCTGGGTCACCTGCCCCTAAATCCAGCCCTGCCCACAGCCCAGCTGAAGTGTTTGAGGTGGGGGCTGGAGAAGAGATGTATCCTTGTGAGCAAGAACATCTTACTCGGCCATAGGAATCTCTTGTACGTATTTAAATATATCCTATTAGTTTGTCATTTTCAAGTTGAATGCAAGATAGTTTATTAACATCTTCTTAGCAATGTGGCTAAACAAGTTAGTTTGCACTGTGGTTATTGCAGCAAATTTGTAAAACAGTATAAACATTTCTGTTACCACTGAGATTTTACCTCTGTACAGAAAAGCAGTAGTTCAAAGTACACCATCAAAGTCAGTAATTAACAAGAGTCCAGGTCACAGGCATTTTGACATTGCATATTTTTACATCAGCAAAGAACATGCTGAACGAGGTGTTTCAAGGGCCCAATCCAACAATCTGATCTGGGAGCTTGGACCCCTCACTTCAATGGAACTTTGCGGAATCGGGGCCAAAGCTTGTCGTATACCAACATTCCATCAGTAGGCCTTGAGAGGCCAATCCAATGCTGATGAAAACAAGCAGCATGGGCCTTATTCCACTTTCTCTTTTCTTCATGTTTGTTTTTAGGGATTTGTTTCTAGTGAAAGAAAATAGTAACTGGAAATGTGGAACAAGAGTGGCGATGATTGAGGGAGGAGAGTGAGTGCAGTTATTTCCCGAAAGATCTGGAGTTTCTTACATCAAAATGTTGTACAATGGGGCCCTGATCCTAGCACTTGCTAAGACCCAGAGTCCAGTCTCAGCATGTAGTGGGCTCTGTGAAAAACCTGAAAGGATTTTTTTATTGTGTATAGCTAAATCATGACCTAGTTGGCACAAGAAAGGGGAACACAGATTCATTTATCCTCTGGAAAAGACCTCCTATTGGCCAGGTCAGGATTCCATGGGGATGGCTGAAGGGACATACTTGTGTAGTACTGCACTTTTCTGGGTTCTTTTAGCAGTTGCAGTGTTCCTCCAACTAGTGCTGTCTAGACTCGCCTGCTGGGAAGCTGGATAACTTGATTAACCCATGGGCCCTCACTTTGCACAAGAGGTGGTGCATGGGTCATCAGTACATTCCAGGCTTGTCTCAAGCACTTCAGAGAATTCCTGCCCTGATACTTGCATAAGAAAAGAGGCTCCTTGTGCCCTTTGCACACTTGAACAGCATAGGGGAGGATTTAGTCCATAATAAGAGTGAGCAAGTGACCATGAAACAGAGAAGAGCCAGGAGTCACTTATGAACCATCACACTTAACAGAAGACAATATCTTGTTTGTATAAACTTCCATCCCCACGTTAGACCATATATTTATAGTACATTTTGTCTCCCTTTAACAAAAACAATATAAATTAATTGTAGGTGCTGGCCTGACATCTGGTGGCCGAGATAGTCATAGCAACACTCAGTTTCTACTCTTGAAGCTTTCTACTTGGAAGTTTGGCAGATGTGAGGTATGGTATTAATATATGGAGATATACCTATCTCATAGAACTGGAAGGGACCCCGAAAGGTAATCGAGTCCAGCCCCTGCCTTCACTAGCAGGACCAAGTATTGATTTTGCCCCAGATCCCTAAGTGGCCCCCTCAAGGATTGAACTGACAACCCTGGGTTTAGCAGGCCAATGCTCAAACCACTGAGTGATGTGACTTAACAATTAACAAATAGAAAAAGCAGCACTTTACTGGGTCTCTCCACATGTCTGCTGCACCATTTAAATACCTACCCATAATTTCCTTTTGTTAACCATGGTGCATTTTTTTTATTCTGCTTTTACTACTAGCACAATGTGAGCAGGGACAGCTCTAACTTTTTTGCCGCCCCAAGCAGCAAAAAAAAGCACCGCCTCACCGTAACACACATCCCCGCAGCACCGCCCCGCCGAAACAGCCCCCCCTGCAGAGCGCCGCGCTGCCAAACCCCTCCCCCCCCCTGCTGAGCGCTGTGCTGCCGAACACCCCCGCGGAGCGCCGTGCTGCCAAAACCCACGCCGAGCACTGCCGAACATCCCTGAGTGCTGCGCTGCCGAACACCCCCCGCCCCCTGCGGAGCACTGCGCTGCCAAAACCGCCCCCATGTGGAGCGCCACCCAACACCCCCCGCGCTGAGTGCCTCACCGCGCTGCCCCCCGCCACCCCAAGATTGGCTGCCCCTTACAAGGTGCCGCCCCAAGCACGTGCTTGGTTGGCTGGTGCCTGGAGCCGGCCCTGAATGTGAGTACTAAAAGGGTAGGCAACCCTCTCTAAAGCCCGTCCAGAGAGAGAATGACTTCAGTGTGTTAGTGGGCACAGAGTCTGTCCATGCAGAGAGCAGCTTGCAGGGGCAGGGCCTAAAACAGAGCACCTGAAAACCTCTGTATCTAAGGGACAGCCAAAGTGTGAGAAGGGAAACAGACAGAGAGAAGGGAAGTGATTTATAAGTCACACAGCAGGTCAGTTTTAGATCCAGGACTAGAACCTATATCCCCATAATCTGGGCTGACCTTATGGGTTAGCAGGCTGGCCTCACACAGGGTGTGGTACTCAAGAGGACACCATGCTGGTACCTCCCAGCCACCTGACCTGGCAAGCCCACAGCCAGTAGGGTTTAGAGGTAGTCAGGCACGCCTGGGCAGTGTCTGGAGAGGAGGGACGGACCGAGCTCCAGGGGGCAGATGGACCAGCCAGGTAACTCCTCTGAAGTGGGGATGCCTCTCCTCCCCCACTGCCCTGCTCCATTGCCATGTACAGCCACTGCTGGTATTGTCCTCACTCCACCAGACTATGAAGCTGCCCCGGCCAATCTCGGACCTGGAGCCTGCCTTCTGTCTGCTGGGCAGGGCGGGGGAGCGGGAAGGCGCTGATGTCAGGGTATCCCCTTCCTCCCACCTGTATACCTGGTCTCCGCTGATCTGGGATGGGTGTCAGGGGGAGCATATCTGTCTGTTGCCTCTGGGTGCAGAGTGGGAGCTACCGCCTGTGCTGTTCAGGCTTCTAAATGCTCTTCTTAAAGAGACAGCATGCTGACACACTCACTCAGGAACATACCCACCCCAACATATACACTCCCCCTAGGGTGACCAGATCACCCAGGTCAAATATTGGGATGCGGAGGGGGGCGCGGGGCGGGGCAAAAAAAAAAAAACGGCGGCAGAGCAAAAAAACACCCACCCCCCTTCCTCCTCCCTCTGCAAGCGCTGGAGGGAGGCCCCGGAGACGCAGGGGGAGCGTGGGGCCGGGGTGAGTGAGAGTCCGGCCTGGCCCTGAGCGCAGGCAGGACTCAGTCGGGCGGTACCTGGAGGGAGAGTAGGGGGGCGGCCCGCCAGGCCATGCGGCGGCTGTTCTCCCTACCTGGGCAGCGGGACTCGAGAGCAACCGCTGCTGCAGCTCCTACTGGGGGGCCGCCGCGGGATTGCACCAGCTGGGCAGCAGCCCAGACGCGACTGGCCAGGGGCTGGACGCAGCATGCGTGCTGCTGGGTCCCCGCAACAGGCCTGGGTTCGGGGGGTTCGGGCCCGGGCGCCAGAGCCGCAGCTGCCGAGCGCCATGGCCACTTCCTCCCCCCGTGGCAGTAGGAGCTGCAGCAGCTGTTGCTCTCGAGTCCCGCTGCCCGGGGGGGAGAACAGCCGCCGCATGGCCCGGCGGGCCGCCCCCCTACTCTCCCTGCGTCTCCGGGGCCTCCCTCCAGCGCTTGTGGAGGGAGGAGGAATGGCGAGCTTGGGGAAGAGGTGGGGATTTGGGAGGGATCCAATGGGGGAGGGAGAGGGCGGAGTCGGGGCGGCGGAGGAACGCAAGCCCTTCCGGGCTCCGGAGCCTTTGCTTGTTTGTCCAGTGTCCCGACCTAACACTGGTCAGGACGCGGGACAAACAAGCAAATATCGGGACAGTCCCGATAAAATCGGGACGTCTGGTCACCCTAACTCCCCCACACTCACTCTGTCTCTCTGATTCCTCCAGCACACACACACTCCGTCCAACGCTCAGAGAGGGATGCCCGGTCAGCACTGGCCACCCAGCCGGTCCTTAATTTGTTCCAGGGCTTCATTTCCATTTCAATACAAATTAAGCACTGGAGGGGAGGCAGTGGGGCCTGGAGGTGATGGGGGGAGTTGTGGAGGTCAAGGGGGATGGGGTGCCAGTGGAGGTGCCAAACTACAAGTTTTCCCAGGGCAGCATTTTACCTAAGGCTGGCCCTGCCCACAATCCCAACCCCATTATCTGTCCACTAAGCTATACTGCCTCTAACAGTCAATAGACAGCCTGTGTAATTGATTTCCTGGATCAGGGTCTGTGGCCATGCTGACTGGATAGGCCAAGCTGAGAATGCCAACTCAGGGCAGACTGCAAGAAATAGGGCAAATAATCCCCCAAACTGGTGGTTTATTCTATAATTAGATTCACCAAGCCAGTAGCAAAACAGCTTCTGTAATACCACACTGGTTAACCAGAAGTCAAATACTGTTCCCTTTAGGCAATCCAGCCTTCAGCTCCTATCTAGACAGCTAAGTCTAATATAGTGAGGGGTTATTGAAAACCTTATTTGCCATACTTAAAGTTCTGCTAGTCCCAAAGGCACAAACACATTGCCCATCTCAATGAATATTTCAGATCTCACCCAAATACATGCTTACAGCCAATCCTTATTAACTACATCTAAGATTTATTAATAAAAGAAAGTTATATATGGTTATGAGATAAATATACATACAAATATGTGCAAAGCCCTCAGTCAGTTTCATAGCAGAGATGATGAGGCTGCTGGTTTGTAAAAGTCTTTCTGCAATCAGATTAAAAAGCTATACTCCAATAGGCAGTCCAGATGGAGAGTTTGTTCATATTCTTTCATAGAATTCCAGGATAAATCTGAAGTAAACCTGGAGACCTCCATCTTGTGGCTTAGTCTTTCCCTGTCAAAGTTTAAGTAGATCTGAGATAAAAAGGATCAGTCCAGAAGATTCTTTTATAGTTGAAGCAAACTGGGCACTCACAGGTAACTCCACCATATGCGCTTTGATGAAAGCAAGCCGACAGTTTGATTTCTACCTAAGGCAGTGGCTCTCAAACTTTTTTACTGGTGACCCCTTTCACATAGCAAGTTTCCGAGTGCGACCTCCCTTTATAAAATAAAAACACTTTTTTATATATTTAACACCATTATAAATGCTGGAGGCAAAGCAAGGTTTGGGGTGGAGGTTGACAGCTTGCAACCCCCCAGGTAAAAACCTTGCGACCCCCTGAGGGGTCCCGATCCCTAGTTTGAGAACCCCTGACCTAAGGGGTCCTTTCTCAGACAATAAAGTTAGCAATAGCCATTCAAACTATCAAAACAGTTGACAGGTAGTTCACTGAAATTACAAGTTTCAAAGAGAAATGAGGACATAACATTATTACTCCACAAGCTCCATCTAAATGTTAATAGATCTTTTTGACCTCTGAGTCAATAGAATTGAGCAATGAAGCACCAAAGACAGGAACAGGATTTAGTGTTTTCAAGCTAATTAGATCACATTGTTAAACCTCTAACAAAAGATATAGGTAAACATGTAAAAATACACGGAGCAACTATTCTTTGATTCTTATCAATACAAAGTAATGCATTGGAGATTGTTAGCCTGATTAACATTTCTTTGCTATCCATATGCAAGTAAATTCTGTGGTTTCAATTGTAATGCTTCCTGTTAAATTTTTGTGCGTCATACACAGGTTGGCTGTTCTGTCAGCATTATAGAGTCTTAGTGAAAACCCTGACACTTTCAAAATTAGGATTTTCAGACATTTGTTCAGACAAGGATTGTTTTTTTTTCCTTAATCAAAACATGTACAATGAATCTTTATGTTTTCTTGGAAAACTGACCATTCTGAAGAAAGTAAAAATGTCTAGATTGCGATTTGGGGATGGGTGGGAAAAGAGGCAAAGTTTTTAATTTTTGGTTAAAATTGTGTGAACCTTTGTTTTTTTTTAGCACTTTGGCTCCTTTCATATTGAAATCTCCCCAGGACTTTGACACACCACCAACCTACATATTACCTATTAAAATCACTATTAATGATGATATTGCCATTTGTGGTATTAATTATATAATTTATAATTGGCATAACGTATTGTGTGCATTATTTTACTTACTACTGCACATTTAATTTTAATATGATTCGCTTTATGCATTATTTTAATACTAATGTCAGTCCCCGAATGTGTATTTCTTATGCGTGTCCCTCTTTCTCTGCATTGATGATTATGACCCCTCGGCTATGGGGGGACCCAGGGCGTTGGGTGGGAGGGGACGGATGGTGGCTCAGTCTGTGCATTGGCTGCAGCCGCCGCCGCGTCCAGCAGGTGGCAGCACGAAGCGCCCAGCGGCTGATGATTGTCCCTGCCCGCAGCCCGTAGCGTGGCGAGCGGGTGCTGCGGACTGTGCCCGGCCTGGCTGGGGGCCAGCTCCCCCTGTCAGCGCCCAGCCATGGCCTCCGGCAGCGCCATCCAGATCCCCAGCCGCCTGCCGCTGCTGCTCACCCAGGAGGGAGTCCTGCTGCCCGGCTCCACCATGCG